CCGGACTGAATTTGGGCGGCAGGTAAACTACGGAAGCATAGCACACGTCGTTGTCCTTCAATCACATTTTGCACCAAACTAGGTCAGCGACATGCGTTTGGGGATCATCTATGAGTTCAGAGCGAAGGTTTGTTGTATGATTAATGATTACTAGCTCTCCCCAACCCGTTCTGTTGTTCCGGAAAATTCACATTTGTGGTTTATTTTTCTCAATGTGTATTATCTCACAGGTCAGCCACGTTGCGATGTTCTTTATTCTAACGACGCTCTAGAGTTTGACGATGACGTAGTTCGGCAAACTTACTAATAAGATCTCGTGCCTTAGTTACAAGCAGGAGTTTCTCGGCAAGCAAAAGAGAGTTAGTGTAAACCAAGATTGATGATTGTGCCGATTGCTGAAAGGTCGACTACTTGCGTTTTTGGAATAGTCATTCGTTTTTCAAGTTCGGTAGAATTATATGACCGCTCGCGGGTGTCTCAACCCTCATGGTCTCCTGTATTTGGTAGTACTTCGGTGACTGCTGAGGTCACCATTAGGCCAATGTATCACAAAGTTGTATGAAGGGGTGAGTTGCCAATTTGGCCGTCCAAATGAGTAGTCGGCCAGCCGTTTCCACGTACCCGCATTCTTTAACAGAATCTCTGTAGACAGCCACTCGCGGAATTTAAACTAGTTTCTCAAGATAAGCGGTGTTATTAACTCATATCGAAACATCACATTCTTCAGGCTAGGGCCGTTTACCTTGTATTTTGGGACACTGGAATTCTTGTCGACATCTTAGTAGACATACTGTAAATGGAGAGTTCCTGCCTGATGTAACTCCATTGCTCCTAGTCGTATGATACCGCTTCCTCAGAGGAGGATGCTTGAAGCTCTGGAGCTTCGTAAACAACAAGCCTCCGTTTTTCGTCAGATTTACGAACTTCCTCAAGCTTGCTATTCTCTTTTGGACGTTCGTTTCAATGGAATTACGGAAGTATACGCAAATTATGTGATCAGTTGCAGAGCCGAATAGATGACAATATAATGTCAGCGGTGTCGTCAACGGAACTCAGTGTTTCCAGGAGGAGTCGAGGTTTACCGTATTACAGTATATTTGGGTGACATATAACTAGTCTCAGCGTCCTAAGCTCAAGCAAAATGCCCATCACACCATTAATGGACTTTCATTGATTGCAGTTGTCCAGACTATGATTCTGGAACATTAATGAACACAACATTTAAAGTTCCATCCGTGATTTAGTGCTTTGACTTCAGATGCTAGTATAAAGTAATACAGCTTTAAACGGTTTGGTTACTTGTGGCAGTTGTGTCACCCTAAGGTTGATTGGTGCTGCCACCGAAGTCAGGGTTGTTCTGTCGACCGTTAGCATGGCAGCAAACAATGCTTACGGTGCTCGGCTTTTCTCCATGCTGGACGGACTCGGGCTCGGAGCTTCCGCCAGCTCCACCGACTTAATATGGGCTGCACCTTTGAAAGAAGTGGAGGCGGACAAGCTCTATATTTGTCCCCTTATGGCAGGGAAGTCAGTCAGAAGACTTGGAGTCACAAACGCTGCAGTGCGGCTGGGGCGTCTGGCTGTCTTATCGGCCTTGAAAGGAAGCTTGAGTTGGTTGGTTAAGGTACGAGCGTGGTCAAAGCAAATCCGAGGGTACGATTCTATTATTCACTAAATGCGCTGTGGTCTTAGTCAACATATCTCACTTCTTGGTGAGCAAACCTAAACAGTAGTCTACTGGAAAGTCTGTGGCAGAACTAGGACCCACGGCGAGAAACTGCTTTTTCGACAAATCAGTCTTAGTAAGAAGGATAGCATAGATATCATATATAAACCTCAATGTAAATAACTAGTACACTTCCATAACTAACAACGCTGCTGCATTCATGAGATTCTCCCAAAGAATCAGCAAACAAACTCGCTCCTGCGCCGCTAAATACGAATCAATCAGCGCATGTGTCAATATGCGTGAGCGTCCATTCATCTGCTCCGTTTACTTGCAGCCCGCTTGCCGCTTGCATCATCATGTTACGTCGACGCGCTCCTTTGAATGCACAATCCTTTGGTGAGCCGTTATCGATTAGCTCCATTTAAACCGAACGATTTTATACCTCGTTTTATCTGTGTTACATAGTAGTAGTTCCACTGTTTGTCTGTCAACAGCTTATGAGAGGACACCAAATATCTGAACCCAGGATATACCGTTGAAATGCTGCTTCTTCTTGTTAGTTTGCAGTTTGTAAAGGGAAACGCCTTTATGAAGGGCAAACTTTCATGTTGAACGTAACAAAAATGCGTCAGCTAGTTCTTTTAGCTGCCTCGCTTCTTGAACGGACTTTTCTATACATTTAGTATGGAACGTTCAAAGAAAGTTTTAGTAAGTTAGCCTCATTTTTAGGAATTTACCCTATCCCCATGAAAAGTACACCCAACGTTGCATCATTCCTGGGACGCTGACAGTATTTTTCATATCACATGCAGCTTGTGAGACTTATCGCAGCATCCGAAGTCATTAATGAGACATGTTTTACGTCCACCTGCATGGCCACATTACTGATGAGACGGATTGGTTGGCTGATCGGTGGAAGCGGGTTGCCGGCAAGTCGAGCGCAAAGTATGATGCGGCTGCTCCTTATTTGCCTTGGAAAATACGGTATCTGAGCGAACCTGGTTTTATTGGACTGCTCAGATATTGCTCTATCTGCTAAAGTAACACAGTTGTTTAAGTAACCAGAAATGCGATGAGGCTTTTTGCTTGCGTTTGCATAGGCGTGTAAAAACAACTAGAATTGCAAACATAGTGATTCATAGAAAATACTTCCGTGTAGCATAGCTCAGACGACAGGGCAAATTGACTCTATTCGAATGGGCATAAACTGAGTTTGCTGTCGGAAGTTGAAGAGCTGAAAATCCACTATAACGAAGAGCGAAAAACCGGTGCGTCCAAAGGCAGAGGTGGATGACCCTAAGTGTCCATTTACATCGTGTGACCCGAAATGGCGTTTTCTCTAAAGTAAACTCGTTTTATGGGTCTCAAACATACACTTTCTGTAACATCATTCGTTCTCTGTAAGACATTTTTGACGGTTTGAGAGGGATGAGAATTACGCGTATTTGTTTTCTGCTTCCAGTGTATAAACATATTACGGAGGAAATACCAACAACCAGGAATTACTTCGTGTTTCTTATAGTTCAGCGTTGCCCACTGACAACTCAATTTTAGTTCACGCCGTGCCAGCTTTGTACGGTATATGTCTATGGTGCACACAGCTACAATTGTTGCATACGTGGCCATCGTCGGTGAGGAAATCAATTGCAGGGTGATTCCACACAGCGATGCGTGTATTATCCTTGAAATGCCTATCGTAAGATAGTTGTAAATGCACGTTTATTTCCCATGAATCAAACACTGTCGTTGTGGATCAAGGTGAAATGGATCTTTATCTGATTGCATGAACGATCATTACACAGTTCTATCTAGAGCTCTTGAGTGTACACCCTAGATAAACTACGCATTTAAATGAGAAGCCTCCACTTTGGACTTAATTATTGAAGAAGTCACAACGAAGGCCTGAAATGCATACAGGTACCGTCAAAAAGCCGGCTTAGGAACAATGGATGACTTATTCAGACGGAATATGTAGCGCCTTTGTGCGATGTATTTTCATCAACGCAGAAGGAAAAGTTGAAGTACATCAATCCCTCAATTATTCTCGCCACCATTTTCCACTTTGTATGTGCCCATCTTTGAACTCGTTGGCTAGAGGTAACGGGCGCCGAACTATTGCGCAACTCACTTGATTTCTCTGACCAGCAAACTACAGTTTATCGCCTTTGCTGGAAAAATCGAGTGCCTCCTGTCTTGCAGAGGGTTTTGCGGTATGAATCTCAGCACTTTGCATATTCATTCAAAGTGCGAATTTATGAGAGGGCGAAGCATGCGGACTAGGGCTGCAGTTCAAGCGTAGAAAGCCTGTTGCGCTCATAAACATTCACATTTTCAATCCTATTTTACCGCTTTACCTTCTACTATTTATTGTACAGCTTTTATACGTTAGCTGAACCAATACACATTTGTCCGAATTATTTCACCTGCCTGCTTGCAAATCGTTACACGTCCTTTCGTTATGATTGTAGCTGGTGGACGAAATTATTGAAAACTCGCATTTCCTTTCATCTTGAGGTACACGGCTTGCTTCGGACACTTTGAACGCTTAGAATTAACCGGAGATCTGGCTAAATGTCTTTGTAATTGACAGAGCTTTTCATAAATAATTTTGTGTAGCCTTTTCCACTATAAGCCCACACCCTTCAACCTACATCACATTGAAAAGGACGCACGTTTGGTAAGTATACAGATCGGTTTCTTGGCCGTATTGCCCTTCGTGATGGTCAAGAACTCTACCTTCCTATTTCTCCCTCAACAGCCAACCATAGCATCTTGAAATCATTGGTGAAGTTTTTGACCTCCGGTACGTAAGCACTTTATTGGCATACGCAACGGAACTACTGGTAGTGACGTTTAGCAGGTAGTAACGCGCCTATTTTGTCATGCAATCGGAACCCAGCGGCAGCAACAATGCGCCGGTCCAGCTGCTAAGCGGCCAATTGGCAGCCAGTGATACATTTACAGTGATTTTATAGCACAAAGGCCTTCAAAGGATATGCACACTGTTCAAGCTTCTCAAAAGAACAAAGTGATTGTGCATTGCTTTTCAGTTGTAACGTTGATTAATCATGGTTATGAGTGATATCATGTGTACTCATCCATTTGCCGCCTCTTTGGTCGCTAGATACTGCTAGAAAACACAACAAACGTATAGTGGCGCAATCATCCCTGCTGCGGGGTACTCAATTCCTCTTTAAACACACTATGATGCGTGAACCTCAATTTATGTGATTACTAGGCTAGCTTGCTATCTTAATATTTAATGAGATTACATCCTTATTACTATTCAGTCCTCAAAATAATTTGGACGATTTGTTTTACCATTATTCAGCTGAGGTCGCCCACCTGTTACCGTCAACTGGCGATGTGCCACAAATTACCAGACGATGGGATATGCGCTGGGATGAAAGACGAAAACTGTATTTGGGGAAGCTTATCAAACAAAACAAAACCGAGAAGCCGGAACCGGACCCGTAAGTTATCAGTTAAAATACATGGATGTGTGACCTGTTTGTAATATGATAAATCAGTTAACAAATTATACCGCTTTGTTTAAAAGTCAGATTAAAAAGAAATTGATTGCCCGAGTGCGTTCTGCCTGGCGTGCGGAACGGCCCTACTGTACACAAATCTAATGCAATGCAGATCCGCACCCGTAGTAATTTGTTCGTGGTAATTCTTAAGGTTTACGATTTACGTTTAATGTACTACGTACACCGCTCTCGTTATACGTGCTGGTCTCAGTGATTAGGGGCAACATGTTCACATTGTAATATACTGCAACACAATCCAGCTGCTAGAAACACTCTATCAGTCGTTTAATGTGTTTAAACTAACCGAGCAACTGATTTACTCCTCAGCCCAAAAGGGTATCACGCATATCGATTCTATCGGACCAATTGACAAACTGATGTGGAGAGTGGGCTACCCTATCCTCTACACTGCAGTAACGTGCAAGTCAGTGGATAGTGAGCGGCGCTATATCACATCAAGTAACTTTTCACGATAGTCGTTGCCATCTCCCTTAGCTTAGTGGTCTTAACCACGAACTGGTAACAGTCGATTTGAGCGTTCGAGCCCTACCAGGGCCAGATGGAATGCGCACTGCTGACAATTCCCGAAAGGATGTCGCGCGCTACAGTGCATTTCGGGCGTGTGGTGGCTGTCTGAGTGAGTCTAGATGAGACGAATTGCTACCTATAACATTCAAATCCCCTTCTACTGCTCCTCTGTAAACTGACATGATTGCCGATATGGGCACGAAGCTGTGACACGTGTGCGAGAGTGGCTTATCGCGATGACTTAGCGGGCTACAATAGGAGATTATACAATTAAGTGGAAAGCGGGCAACCGAGCTGAAGTGACTGTCAACAACTTAGTTTAACAAACAGTCAGTGGAGAAGTGAATGATGACAGGGTAAAGGAGGGATGTAGAGTAATAAAATAAGATACATTGGATAGATAAATTATTATGCCATTTTAATGGAGCCACTACCCTTCGCTTTAGTATACAAAGCACATCTTTATAGACCTACCGAAGAAAAATTCTCACTGTAGCGTATGATCACTGTGTGAAGGATTGGGTAACCAGGACATCATTGCATTAATAGGAGTTAACGCTACAGATGAGGATGCATCACTTGGGGTATTCTTACCTAGGTATTGGCAACACAGGACGCTCCACCTGTCCGGGTTCGTTGAGCAAAATGATGACTGTTTCTGCAGATACCGTTTACATGCAGCATATCGTTCTGTCCAAATTAGAGAGTTAGACTTTACCTTGACCTTTCATATTTTCGTTGGCCGTATCGCAATCCATTGATAAGCAGTCATGGGCAAACCACAATGCAGACGATTGTCTAAAGCCCTTGGTAAAGCACATGAACAAAACGCAAAAGGGAAGAAATATCTAATGCTGCATTCAGTACTTTAAGTTTTACGTTCGCATTTTCAAGATGCTATGTAGGTAAGATGAGCTTAAATCACATAATAAGACATTCAAAGTGACATTATGAAGTTTGCCTAGCGAGTGACGCTGACAGAATCCCGAACGTTCTATTGTACTGCGAGATCTCAGGGGACAGAAATTAAAATGTCGCTTCATAGTCGGAGCCCCTGAAATCAGCAAATCGGGATTGTAAAGTCGGTCGGTGTATACATGTGGGAAGAACAGGTCGTTGTGAATGCGCGCGGGTTGAAGGAGTTATAGTCACGCTCTTAGGTATTCTTGGGGCAGGTAAAAGCCACTGGGCCATATTTGACATCCCAGTACACCGAGAGTACAACTGGCCACTCTGGGTAGTACGGCTTATAAGGATTGTAGTACTTGTGGGACACGGTCACGCCCAAGGCGCCTACCTGGGTGATCATGGAATAAGCTCTCACAAGACCTACAACAAAGCGGTTGTGGTCGAAACGAACATGGATTGTCGATACATCTAGCTTGTCTCGGATAAGACAGCGCACTTCCTTACACCACTTGCTCTATCATTGTCTTACTCTCACATTTAGCAGTTTTATAACTCTCAAGTCACCAGATGAAAAGCCTAAGTGCACGTGTCGCTTAAGGCAGCCTTTAGTTGATCATGGCGCTTCCACGCTTGGCATGAGTGACAAATTGATTAATCATTTGGGGCGATGTAAAATGTGAGTCTTCTAAGAGAGTGCCCAAAGTATATCACTATAACAACAGACCTATGTCGTGCTACCCAGCCCCCATAGAATGCTTTGGCTACCATTTTAAAGGAAGTTAGGTACAGAGACCAATTTCAGTCAACGGTTAGGTCGATCCGGAGGATCCTCGAATAGATTATTCATCTGCATTTGATGGGTACTTTGTGAATGTGTGACGATATCGAAACATCAACTACTGGAATATTGATATGGCTTTGTACATTGACCCAAAACCAGTGAAAGGGCAAACTGAAGTGGACAGGACCATCGCGAATGGTCTATTACGAAGCAAAACGCATGGTTATTGGTCTTATTGACAAGAAATATCAGATCAGTTTAAAGCTTTTTCCTTTCGACTAGATACAGATGCCGAGGATTATGTTCAGCAATCCGCAATTGTTGCTTTGGAATGAAAAGCCATTTACTCGGGTAACAACAGCACACATTTCCTTTTTGTTTATCTATGTAGACAATTTTCCATTTTGATCATGCCACTTAGTCCATCTACACTCGATACTCTAACTGAGAATTCAACCGTCCGGGTTGTCAGATTGTAAGAACCTCAGGTGCGGACGGGATTATCTTAGTAAACAGCATTATTAGATGCATAGGTTCTGATCAACGGAATTTACGCTTACCTACGTACTCCCTGTTGGAGGCTGCATGGCGCACATTGCTTCTATGTCTAATGGTAATGTGGCGTGCATCGCGTATGTGTTCATTCCCCGCGCGCATACGTCTGGCTTCCAAGTGTTTTGTTTCGGTTATTGTGGCATACTGAGGGCTCATTGCTGTTCGGCTTCCTAGCACTGCTATACTACTGAGAATAAATGCAGTAGTGTCTACCATTGGTCCACCACAAGATTTGTTGGTTAATGAGGTAGACAAGTTTTAATAGGTTGCTTAGGTTTGTGGAATTACGGCGTACTTACAACCTATTTTTTATTACCAGGAACGTCCTAGTTTTACTAGATCTAGAAGCGTGTAGGGTTCGATGGAATAAATCGCTGATATAGCGACGAAGTAACAAATCGCTGAGAGATATCAGCAATACACCGAAATATGGTTTCAACGCTTCACCACCGTACAGTCGCCATCGGTTGCGTGCGAGCATAGTTACTGGATGGGTACCCGTAGCTACGCAGGTTCGAATCAGAGCCTTCCGAATTACAATGCAGATTCCAGAAACACTTCAGTACTACCAAGAACTTTCAAAAAATTTTCAGACCATTAGACTGGGACCATGGGTAACATTTACCTTGCCGGTAACAATTCCATGGTCGCACTTCGTGCTGTTTACTAGCCAACGAGGAGATACGACATGCAACCTTTTCTGTGGCGTGTCCAATGTCGCCTGTTAGTCAAATTGCCTATTTAAATTGTATATGCTCTTGGGTCCTGTGCGGAGTAAATCGGATCGTGCGAATGGGCAATGAGATCGTCAGAGACAGATTCATCAGTCCCAAATCATATTCCCGCGGCAAGCAACCATTTGTGACCGCTAGATGTTTACAATACGAAGTTTCCTGATGAATTTAGGTTTGTATTAGGTTCCTTACTTTTTATTTCCATTTTCGGGGATATTATAACTGTATGGTAACCGAGCGCCAGTATGAAGTTATTTTGAATTTGCTTCTGTTAGTAGTTTGTTAGATTTTTGACGCGATAGAACTATTCTGAAGATGGCTAGCTTCCGCGTGCTGAAACTGGTGAAGTTGGTAAGAAACCGAGTCAGCGATAGTTAACCGAATGTAAATTAATTGTTCACGCTAGTTATTCTATAGGAACTGCTGTGCCTCTTAAGTGAAATGCACACATGGTATTTGGTGACTGCTGGGGTTCCAGCTTGAAGACCAACGACTGTTAAAATTAAGGCTTAGCAACCGCAACATATAACTGCTTTGCGACTTGATAAGTAAATCCGTGTCAGCCTTCACCATCTTTTGAGTCAAGTGTCATAGTGTATAGCTTGGTAATATAGGGATGCTCCCTTGAAAGAGGCTTGCGACAATTATATCTTCTAGATAAATATATGCACGGTTTACGTCCCGTTCCACTTGGTTTCCGTAACTTTGGTATATTTTCAGTGTTCGCAAAAGGAAATTGCATACTCAGGGACTAAAAAACCACCGATAGTGTTCATATATTGTTCCGACCGCTTATGTTTCTCTGTGAACCAAACTGAGACAACTAAACACGGGTTCAATCAAAAAAGTGGTAATATTTTTCATGTTGTACACTATCTGGTTTATGGAAAACAGTATTCATAACTCACTGAGCCGAACCATACGCTTTGCCTTGTCTTTTAAATACAGCAAGGCGGATTTACTTGGAGCTCAATTACTGCTAGTAAGTGTTAGCCACCACGCGCCAAAAGTAGCACCTCAATGGATGGTAAAACGCATGTAACCAAATTAATCACTTTGTAACTTAAATTAACATCGTGACTATTTGCTAGTTTACCAAGTGTAATAGTATGGTGAACCAATTCCATCACCAATCGTGACACCTTGATGCTGAAAATTGTTAGAGCTGCTAAAATAGGCCGACTTAGTCTGTGAACGTGTCAGTGACGGAACACGGGCCTGATCACTGGGATATTTAAGGGAACACTCCAATTTTCTAAGCTAACACAACGCTACTGACCAAGAGGAAAAATATAAAAGTCAGGAAAAACCCATCATTATTCATCTTGAGGACAGGCCAATCATCTTCAGGCTTTAGCCGGGAAAAGACGAACAGCGAAGCTTTTGGAGCATGTTCGCCTTGTGGGAATTTCCTATGCACTGCACCACGGGGG